AACGGTTTGGGTGCCCAGCCCAATGTCCAGTGACAGGCTGTTGGTGGAGGCAGGCTGTGGCGAGTGGCAGGGCAGGGTTTCTCAATGCCTGCAGCTGCAACCTTCAGCTGGATCAATACCTGGGGAAAGAAGGAAGAACCCTGGGTCCAGGCAGAAGGGAAGTTGCATGATGTCTTAGATGCAGAACTGCACATGTATGTGTATATGTGTGTATGTGTGTATGGGAGCATCTAGTTCAAGGAGAGCCTGTGGACCAGGAGCCCTACAGGATCTGTAGTGGTGGCAAAGAAGTCAAGGGCATCATGGAAGTCCCTTGGGGGATTCCCAAGGGAGGGCTTTGGAGCCAAACCATGTGACTAGTAGGACATGACAGTTGGGCATATGAGCTGGAAGGAGGAACCGGCCACACCAAGGGACACAAAGGAAGTGACAAACTCATGGGGTATCTGCTGCTGTGACTTCAGGTGGGTAGAGCTCACCTAGGGCTGGAGGGGAGGGAGGTGGGAAGAAGCAAACTGGACGCCCCCTCCCCCCACTGGTCCAAGTACCACCTGGTGCTCTGGCCTCCAGGAACCTGCCACAAAAGAAAAGCCCCTCAGTTTCCCATCTGCAGAGGCAAAGAAGGTCTTAAGCGAGTCTCCTGGAGAAAGGTGCAGAATGGGTATTTGTGGGGCTGGGGACAGGAGAGAGAGCATGGTCAGAGAGGCTACCCGCCGGCTATGGCCATCACTAAGCCCTCTCAGCGATCTAAATCTCAGATCGCTGCCCAACACAAAAGCCCTGGCCATATTGCTCCTGGCTATGCCGCTTACCTGCCAACCCCCATCCTGCAGTGTGCATGAAGCAATCTCCATTATCACACATGCTTGGCATTTTTGCCTGATAATCACACCTCCCACAGCCCTGTGAGGATTAGGGCACAATTAGGGAGGAGGGAAAACTCTTTTGGGTGGAGCCAAATACCTGCCAAAAGATTTGGCAGCCTAACTTGATTGCCTCCTACAACTCTGAGGATTGTCTGAGCATTTGGTGGAGGTGTTAGGACCCTGCTCAGGGCTCACAGGACATCACCACCTTACCCACGCATGCCCTCCTATGCTGCCTTCCTACCAGCAGCCCCCTGCTTCTGCCCTGAGTACCTGTCACATGAAGGGAAAGAGACCTAGCACAGAAACGTTAAGCAAGTCTCCTTTTCAAGGAAAGTGCCCCACCTTGGTCCCATAGGGGGTCTTCGTCTGTTCTCTGCTCCTGACTGTTGTAGAATATTAGTTGAAGATGCAATACATTTGTTTATGCTGTGGAACATCTGTTTAATGATGCAAGACGTGTTGTATTCTTTTATGTTGCAATCGTTTAACTCTGTGAAGCTGTGTTACTTTGCCTGTCTAAAACTCCTGATTGGTCTAATAAAGAGCTGGATGACCAATAGCCAGACAGGAGAAAGGATAGACAGGGCTCGTAAGCAGAAAGAAATCAACAGGAGAAATCTTGGAAGAGAAGATCCATGAATGAGACAAGAAGGGGTCAGCCCCCCAGCCACACATGGAATAAGAAGAAAAGATGTACAGAGATAGAGAAAGGTAAAAGCCCAGAGACATAAGGGTAATTAAAGCTAAGAAAAGCTGGCTAGAGATAAGCCAAGCTGAGGACAGAATTAGACTCTTGTGTAATTATTTGGGAGCTGGGTGGTAGGCCCTCAAAGAACCAAAGAGCAAAGAGTAAAAACACAAACAACTACACTTGACACTGGTCCTCTGGGAACACTGTTCACACACATTTCGACAGCCGTGGCATGTCTGCTCACACTGTATCTTCCATCAGGAATGGTCATTCTTTCAGTTATTCAGTTATTCAGTTATTATTGGGTGCTTTAAGGCCCAGGGTAGACATTCCTCCAAGAAACTTCTACCTTGTCCCATGGAGAACCTGGCAAGAAGCATCCATGGAGCCCTCACAAGGTGCTGGGACCTGTTCTAAGTGCTCCAGCGTGTGAACTCGCTTCATCTTAGCCAGAGTGCTGTGCAGCTGCTGTTTCACACACAAGACAGCAAAGCTCAACAAGCTGAAGTGTTCAGGGCTACATACATGTGGGTCAGGTGGATGCTAGGGCAGCATCTTCCTCCCAGACCTACCAGGTGATCCTTTGTAGCCCTCTGTATTTCATGAAAATCACAAGGTCTATAGCAGAGCACTTCAGATTGGAACTGGTCCCCTATTTTAGAATGCAGATGTTGGGTGAGTGGGGCTGGGATGGAGGCTGGATGAGAAACTCCCAGCGTTGTTGCTGCTCTGAAGATCACTTTGGGTAGTAAAGCCAGCACCCAAAACAGGAAAAAGTCCTCCGTTGTCGGTGATCCTTAGCAGAGCTGAGGGTACATGGCAACTAGGTCTCTTCACTCTTAGCAGACTGGAGGCTCTGCTGTCCACTGCCCATTGCTGGTCCTGTCCCTGAGACACAGAGACACTGGGGGCAATCAGGCCAAGTTTGAATGCCCCCTTATCTTAGGACCTCTCTAAGCCCTGGCCTAGTTCTGACCCCTAGGAACCCCTGCTGTCCTGGACCCTGCTCTGTGCAGCACACTAAAGAAATTAAGCTAGTGTTCTATCAAGCCAGCCATCTTTACCCTTCTTGTCTATGAGTGAAGGAGGGCAGTTTGGGTGATGCAGTTAGCAAGGGTATCTTTGTATAGAGGCATCAGCTGCAAGGACAGAAAGATGTGTCTTTGCTCCTAAAGCCAAGCAAGACAGGCTCCAGGACAATGCCTTGAAAACCTGATGTGAACTGCAGAGTGTGTCTCCAAGCAGAACAACAGAGACAGAACTATGGACCCTTAACACACACGGATGTGAGTATTAAAGATTTTAATACAGGTTGGAAGAGGGCTATGATCCGCAGAAGCCTACCCACTTCATCCTTAGAAAACAGCGTGCCCAAATGGACAATGCCCACTTGTGATGGAAGGAATTGGCGACACTGGGACACCTGGGGAAGAGTTATGGGAAAGCTGAGGCACTGAGCACATGACTAGAGCTGATCCAGTATGTATAGGCAAAGCCATATGGGGTTTCATGTGGCTCTCAAGCCTAGTTCAGAGAGAAGACTCAGGTGTTACACAAAGGGGATGAGGGGAGGCTGTCCTCCACAGAAGAGCTGGCCTACCCTAAGAAATGGGCAGGGACACACACACACACACACACACACACACACACACACACAGAGAGAGGGGGGGGAGGGGGGAAGGGGGAGGGGGAGGGAGAGGGAGAGGGAGAGAGCACATAGGACATCCTGAGAAAGGAAGGAGCCAGACCCATCTGTATGCCCACTGGAGACAAAGAGCAGCCTCTAGGATCCCTCTTTTCTGGAAGAGCCTACAAACTGCACCCCTAGAAAACAACCAGCCCATGTGGACAATGCCCACTTGTGATGAGGCACAGCCTCCTGTTTCATTCCTACAGCGCGGAGAGGGTAACTGAGGATGTTTCCTGGTTTCAAGGCCTGGGAGTGGTGGTACCCGGCTCTGCCCACCTTCCACTCCAGGGCATCATTGGAGTATCTGCATCTGGGCTCCTAGAAAAGCAAGCTCTGTGCTTTGTTGGGTTAACCTTCTGCAGCAATGCTGGGAATTGTTTGTTTTCTCTAGCACTGCCAAAGAGCCCCTGGCAAGGAGACTAAGTGGGTTTCATTGAAAAGATACTTTTCCTCCCCAGGCCGATAAACAAGGCCACTGCAGGGAAACCAACTTCCTCAGCCAGGCACTGTGCAGCCGCCCATCCCTGGCCAAGGAAAACAAATGCATAAGCATTTCAAGGAGATATAGGAAGCATTTCTACTGGGAACCTGCTGTGAATGGCCACTAAAGTTTACACAGCAAGCCCCAAGGGAGCCCGGTGGAGGACACAGCCATCCCCCGCCCTCTCATTCTCCTATGGCATGGTTGGCTCCTCCCTGTTCCCCCAAAGATCTGCAGTTGGGACACAGCATGCGCCCTAGTCAAAGGAACATAAGATAGACTCTGTAGTTGTACCTACCAAACCCCCAACTCCCTAAAGGAGGGGTCTTTTTACAGTAGAGGACACAGCCCTAGAGCAGCTTGGCTCCTAAACCCCATATGGACATAAATGGAGGCCAAAGATGGCTGCCCTAAAGCAACTACAACTCGTGCATGCATCCCTTGATCCCAGTGTGTAAGCACCCACCTCTTCGTGGCCCCTGAGCTAGGGCTGGAGGTGCCTGCAGGCTTTGTCATTATTTCGGTCCTAGTGTCTTCCCTGGATAGCCATATGGCGGGGATTATGAGTGCTGGAGCTTTGTCTCTAGGTCCTTCCCGTGAACTGCTGCTACAAGTGGCCTTGGACTTTGGCTTTGATCCAGACATCCCTCCCCGAGTTCTGCCCCAGCCTCCCAGATGCTGTATCACACTCCTTGGTGAAAGCCATAGGATATACACCGACGTAGCAAGTGAAATTCATACCATTTTCCCATCCAACCTATCTCTTTATTCTGCAATGTGAGTACTTCCGGAGCCCCACCATCCCCACCATTGACACTGGCAGTCAGTTCTCCCCATGGCCGCAGGGAAGCCCACACTTCATCCCTCTGCTTGTCCCCACCTCTTTTGCTCACATGCACGGCCAAGCTCCCTGAGTAGCTTTCCACCCACGTCCATCCCAGCCTCCTCCTGGGCCCACCCCATCCTCATGTGGTCTCACAGGAGAAGCAGCTGCCCCCTGGCTTGGTCTCCCTACCGACTGGGCTTCTCTTGGATAATACACTTTGTAGCTTGCATCTTAGACTATGCTGCTCCAGCAGAAAACAGAGAAACCAGGGGACCTAGTGAGGGCATCCCTGAGGCAAAGGGCAGTGCTTGTCCTCAGATATTGACTTGGAGGCACTGTGCCCACTGGGGGCCTTCCCCCTCCCTGTCCTGTCCCACTTCAGGCATGGGGGAAGCAGATCTGTGCTCCCCTCACACCAATGAACCACAAAGTCTTGGCCCTGGTCAAAGGCTTGACTTTTGCTTTATGGAAGCTGTAGCAACAAGTGTCCACTGTCCCCAAGGCCAGCCACACCAGAGGCCTTGGAGAGAGGGCTATCCAGGAGGAATGCAGACTAAAGGCAGAGTCTTTGATGGCTTTCCCGTCTTTGGCTGTCACAGTTGTATTGGGAGAGAACCTCAGCAGTGTACTGGGCCCTACCATGGCCCTTCATGGAATAAGCTGAAGGTTGTTCCGCTTGCCTCTGTGGCCATGTAACTCAGGCAGGAGGACTCCTCTAAGAGACTAGACCCTAAGATCCGGGGTCCAGGGGTCATCCCAGGGATGAGAGCTGAAGCCATGGAGCGTGATGTATCCGAAGGTCACAGGATGGGGTCTGAGCCATTCCAGTTCACCGATGCCCCCTTCCATCTAGAAAGAGAATGATAGAAGAGTATTAGAGCTGCAGGGGCTCAGGAAGGGAGCTTGAGGCTCCAACCTGCCCAATAGTTTTTCACACTCCAACCTAAACACCCACATGGCACGCAGAACAGACACCCAGGTCCCTGGTAACAACAGGGAAGACAGAGGTGACGGGCAACTTGCCCATTTGTGCCACAGTTGAATGTGCCTGTTGCCGGCACTACAACTTTCTAAAGATTTATCTCAACCAAGTAAATCCAGACCTAGCCCTTGTCCAGCAGTGTCTGACAATGGCCCTTAAGGGGCACCTGTTAGGGTTAGGGAAACAGATATGCTGGGTGTATCCAAGGTCCAGGAGAGGAGCCAGAAAGGCAGGGAGAAAGATGACGAGGAGGCCGAGAGCTGAAAACCGACTGGGGCATTTCTCCCTGTGCCGCAGGAGCTACTGAGGGCTATGAGTTCCACAGGATAAGATGGGTTTTAAACCTGATTTACAAAGCTTAAGAAGAACAAGTAGGTAAATGGTAGCATCTCAGCTCCAATGGGGGCAGTTATTGTAGGTGAGATGAGGACATTTCCTAACACCTGATTCTAATCCATAGAGTTGATTTTCCAAACAATTGATGGGAATCCTTTTACAGCAGATGGAGAATCTATGCAAATCTACCACTGGGGTATTCTGCCTATATAGGCATCCTAAGACAACATGAATTAGAATATGGATGTTGCTAGGCAGCACTATAGGGCAGAACGGGAGACTGGGGCTTAACAACGTTTCACAGTGTATGAAGATTATTAGAGGGGCCCCTAACATCATGTTTTCAAATCCAGAGGTCAAGTCAAAATCCTAACTGCCACAGGCAAGGGGAAAAGAGAAGCTTTACTTGTTTTAATTCAAGAAAGCTCCTAGACGGGAGCTTCAGCAAGAGAGAAACCAGCTTCCCTCAGACTCACACTGCAGCACTGCCCAGCGGAATGATCGGAAGCAGGAGGCCCTATCCACAGATATACCACTGGAATCTGAAATGCCCCCCATAGGCTCATGGTTTGAATTCTTGGTGGTGCCATTTTGGGAGGCTGCGGAACCTTCCAGAAATGAGGTCTCTGGTAGTAAGTCTCTGGAGATGATACCCAGCCCCTGACTCCTGTTAGATTCGGTTTTCTGGTCTACCATGATGTGAACATCCTCTGTCAAATGATCCTTCTACTAAAATCAAGCTGATTTACCATACATGCCCTCCCCACCCAGATGGACTGAACCCCCAAACCATGAACTATGTGAAATCTGTCCCTTCTATGTTGTTTCTGTTAGATACTGTGGTCACAACACTATGATCACAACTAAAACACATTGGTTTCCCAGCCACAGATTCAACCATCTGTAGATCTAGAAATAGCAGCAACAAAAATGTACCCTCCCACAAGCCAAGAAACTAACCTGTACTAAACATACACAGCCTGACTTTTCTTCTTTATTCTGTAAACAATATAGTATAACACATGCTTGCAGATTAGATACTGTAAGTAACCAGAGACCAAACTACACAGAAAGATGTGCAGGCCATATGTAAACACTATGCTGTCTTATAGAAGAGATTTAAACATCCTCAGATTTTATATCGTCAGGAGGTCCTGAAACGTCCCCACTTTTTATGGAGTGACAAATGAAAGGTTCATCTTGAACCCAATGTTCCTCGCCCTCCAACTCAACTCCCACTCCTTCCTTAGAGGCTGCTCTTTGTACTCTGAGGCTGTCTGCACTGCGCCTCAGTATCTCTACTTTTTAGGCTGAAAATTACACCATTCCAGAGATAGCAGGAGTCATACTCACTCTGCCTTCTAACCCACTTTCCTGTAGGTTATAAGCAGCTTCTTGGTAGATGTATACACTGTATTTCCCATTTCACCTTTTCTGTTTTACACCATACCATTTCCCATCAAATAAACAGGTTTCTTTCATTTGGAAAATAACAACAACAGCAACACATCTTAGTTACAATTCTGCGCCTCTTTCTCCAGTGTGGAAGACAGAAGTTGCTCACAGGCACACAGAACAACTAACACCATGCTCTAGTGCCACCAAGGCATAACAGGACAAGATATACTTCCTAAACCAAGGAGGATGTGAGAATGTCATGTGCAAGACAGAATGCTACCCTAGTGTGTACCCTAGTCAATGTTCCAGAAAAAAAGAAAGAAAAAAAAGTCTATTTAAGAGGGCAAGAATAGGTAGGTGGGGAAAACCAGCTTAGGCATAAATATTATTTTGAAAAACTCCTCCTAAGATTCTGTGTTCTCTATGGTGTCATTTGGTGGCAGCCAGTAACACTGCAAGAGCTCACTCCAGTAGGGTCATGCAGCTTTCGGGAAGCTGATCCTTCACTGCCTACAGAACTATAAAAGGAGGTCTTTCCAGAACCACTGCTGGCAGAATCACCTTTGTAGAATCCATCCTAATCTCTGCTGGGAACAAATGCCAGTGCACTCTCACATTCATCATTTCCTGCATCTTTCCTAATCTCCTAATCATCAACGGGAGAGTCCCAAGGACCAGTCTCTTAGTCTACGAGATGGGGGAGAACTGGGTAGCTCAGTGATCTTTGTTGCTCTAGACCACTTCCCAAGCATCTTATATGTCAGGTAAAGCCAGGGGACTCATATCAGGCTTGTTCACTTAGATAGAACACATGTAATTTGAAGGAGGGCATCCACATTGTAGCATTCCACTGCCTGAGTGGTAGACTTGGTCACCATACTGGTAGGCAACTTGACAGAACTTGGAGAAACTGACTGTTACATGAGGAGTCTTCTGCTGGTAAGATTTGGGGGTTGGAATCTCATGGAGTCCCAGAGAAGGCAGCATAGGTCTATGAGCAAGAAAAAAGGCCCCTGCTATTCTGCTATTACTGTCACACTTAGCAGGTATGGGTGGAGAGGTGCTGGGCCCAGGTTCTGAAAGGCAGGCTGATCTACTGCAGATACTGAGTTAGTAGTGATTCAATGATCTGTATTAATACAATGTTTTTTTGAAGTTTATAATTATCTCTTCCTTTGTAGTTCTGAAAGTACTCCATTAAAAACCCTTTTATTGTTCTAGTAAGATCTGTATCTTACTAGATACCAAGCATCCCTTAGGTACCGAGAACACATCTTAGGGTCCCTAAGAGATGGCTCCGTGCGTGAGAACACTGGGTACTCTTCTGGCGGTCCTGGGTTCAATTTGCAGCACTCACATGGTAGCTCACAACTGTCTATAACTGTAGCCCCATGGGATCTGATGCCTTCTTCTGGTGTATAGATGTACATATAGACAAAACACCCATATACATAAAATAAGCGAATCTTAAAAAACAAAACAACCCAAATGCATGTCTTAAATACAGATTCTCCACCGATGACGGAAAGGAGGCACGCTGGAGAGTGTCAGATCCACCCTCAGCTTGGTCCCCAAGGTCTAGACTGCCATGCTCTTCATAGCCACTCAACCCCCCGACTCTGCCTTCCCCACGGACAGGCAAATCTAAGCTCTCCCAAGGGCTCCCGATGGACAACATGGGTTTGGCTTAAGTGCAGGGTGAGTCACATTCACCCGTCACTGAACATCTGTGTTACACCGGTCACGGAGCCTCACTGGCACCCTGCTAGGTCTACGGACGGTTTTGAAGCCATTCACAAGGAAACCAGCCCTCCCATCCTGGCCAGGTGCAAAGGCAGCGGAGAGAAGCATTTTGCTATGGTATGAAAAATCAGAGCCATCTGAAATGCAGAAGGTTGAGCAGGACAGTGGATCGGCACGGTCTTGAGGAAGAAAGCTGTGACAAAAAAAAAATGCAGCGGCAGCCATGAAGGACTGCAGAGAAGTGAACGGTGACATGGAGGGGTGCACGCATGTGCCGCCGGGGTCAATGGCCAGGCTGTCATCAGCACTAACTCAGGAGCCAGACACACAGCACACTTCAAAGCAGCGCAGTACTGGATAATTCTGGTGTGGGAGCTGCTCTGTTCACTGGGGGACATTTTGTGCTCTCCCCCTGACTATGACTGCTGAAAGTGTTTCAAGACTGCCAAACAATCCCAAAGGTGAGGGACTACCCCACCAAGGACCACCAACTCAGTAGCTGAGCTTTGAACTCAAAGTCAACAGCAACATCACAGAGCGGGCCATGGCATGCAAATAGGCCATCTCCAGCCTCAGGGCAATCACTGCCTTGCAGTCAGCTCCAGCCTGAACTGATTCAGACCACTGCCATCCTGATGGACTACATATAAGAAAAGAGCCCACATAGGGCAGCAGCAAAAGGCAGGCAGGCAGGCCTGGTTCCAATGCTCCAGACTGCTGAAGGTGCACCCACGGGTCCTTCCGCTGGCCTTGCTCTTCCAGTCAGCCTGTGCACAAGTTTCTGTCCCGTGGGCCATCCTGAATTAGACATAGTTCTAGAGCTAGGCCTGCATGCTCCCTGTCATATGTGGCCTTGGCCAATCCTCCTGGCCCATCCAACCTTCTCTAGGCTCAGATCCAGGCCCCTGGCAGAAGAGGTCTTGGCTTGGAGGTGGCTCTCAGCGCTTGTGCTAGTGTCAGCAAAAGGGCTGATGTCACCTGTGGCCCAGAGTTCTGAGGTATGGGGACACTCCTGCACAGCCAGCTCTCCTCTTATACATCTCCTCTGGAGCCCACTCTCCTCGCACCCCACCCAGACCTCACATAAAAATCCAGGTCTTTATTCACTCTTTACACGACTCAGCAGGCTGTCCTATGCGCATCTCCACGCCTTCTCCGCCAGCCCATCCCTCTCTTGCCTGCCTTACCCTACATGTTCAGGGGCCCTTTGTAAATGTCCGGGAATACTTCCGTGGTTCTACTTTATAACTTACAGCTGCTTGGCCATGAGGTGATGACAGCTGACTGACAGTTGGTCAGAACTGAGGTCAGGAGGACTAACCAGACAATGTGACAAGCCAGGGCAGAGTGGGACTATGTAGACAGCAGCACACCAAGAGTGAGATTGACAGACAGCCGGATGCCAGGGAGAGCTCCTTCTCTGGCTAAGGGGCACTATAAGTGGGGATCTCACACAGAGGCATCAGCAGAAGTAAAGTGGGGTAACACAGGTGGGTAAGGCATCCCTGAGGGAGGTGGTGCTCTCCCAGGCCTCAGACACACTGACCCTGGCAGGAACCACTTTGCATCTCTTGTCTGAGCCTCCAAACAGAAACATCTGGGCCCCAGCTCCAGGCCCGGTTATGAGCCCTTTCCTCTCGTCTCTGGCCTGGTGACAAGGGTTTCATCTTTTCTCACTCCAGTGAGGATGGAGGCCTGGGAGAGGTCAGTGTGTGCTGTTAGAAATGACCCCAACGAGTCTCATTTGGCTGATGTAGTTTCAGAGCAACCGGGAGGGGCAAGAGATGGCCCCCCACATTCCTGACCCAGCAAAGGCAACATGAGACTGTGTGGGGCTGGGATGTGCATCATACTGAGAGCAGGGGCGGCACACAGGCCTAGCGATGTTTCTAATTAGGATGCTCTTCTCTGAAGGCAAAACCCAGAGTCTGGGCTTGTGCAATGCCTCCGTGACAGCAAGGCCAGGTGGCAGGAAGTCACACTGTCTGCACAGTGACCCACCACTGGGCTGGGAAAGTGAGAGTCTGAGTCTCTGTGGACTCAAAGTGACTGGGAAACCTATACCTTCCCATCTATAAAAGAAAGGGCTGGATTGAGGGGTGCCTGGATACCCCTCTGCGGACTAAGCCCATTGCCAGGTGGGTGATGATTCCGGCAGGGGAGCAAGGCTGGGCTTAAGTAGAAGAGGTCATCTCCCCTGGGTTTGATCAGGGTTGATTCTGAACTTGACTCCCTGAGAGTGGGGACTAAGTCTTATCCAGCTGTTTCTTCTAAAGAATCAGGACCAGGGTTTCCACAAGAGCTGGCATGATGAGAAGGAAATGGCACCTACCCACTGGGTGCTCTGGCTAGCCACTCATCTCACAGATGGACAGGATGATTTGGAACATTGGCTGCATCTCACCAGGCATTTGAAATCTGACTCTGGTTTTGGCAGTGGCCTGAGAATGGGCTATGGCACCATGGATAGCCTAAGTCAGGTCTATGGGCAGCAGGATCTGCCCCCTCACCTCAATCAAACCCATAGCCAAGACCATTCCAGCAGGTCCTCACAGTGACCTCAGAGGCCACCTTCCCAAGCTCCCCCTTTGAGCAGCAAGAACAAACCACAAAGCCTTTGTAATTCAACTCCTTGGACTAAGATTCCTGGCCTGCTGTTTCCCATTACAGTGGCTTGTTATCTGATGAATCCAGGGGACAGGGACTTGACCATTCTACTCTTCACTCACCCACTCCGCCTTCTGGCAATAATTCTGGGAAAAACTCTGGGAAAGAGCTCCCATGGTAACTGGCCAGGTACACCAGGCATGGTGAATATAGTGAGAAAGTAGAGCATGCAAAAACCTGGTGTTAGGAATAAAGTTGCTGGCTCTGGTTATCATTCAGACTTGGTACCTCCCTTGGTAACTGACTCACACAGGCAGGTTCACAAGGCAGATGGGGCTGGGGAAGGCCCTTACCCATTAAGCAGCCTTTCTCAAAAGTATCCCCAGGGCCTAGAGAGATGGTTCCACGATTAAGAGTGCTTGCTGAGCAGTAATGAGGACCAGAGTTCAAATCCCAGCACCAGGTAATAAGCCAGGCACCCCACATGTCTGTAGCTCCAGCTGCAATGGGAGTATTGCTAGAGCTTGCTGGCCTTTAGACTTTCCAGGAAAACATGAGCCCCAAATTCAACAAAAGATCCCACCTCAAAGAAATTTGGTGGGATGGGGGGATTACCTGATGCCTCCTTCTGGAATCCATAGTATGCATAGGTATGCACGAATGCATGTGTGCATGCATGCACACCTGCCCCTCCCCCCCACATGCACACTGTAAACACAAATGAATGAATGAATGTTTTCTTAAGTAGTCCTAGGGCTATAGCACCAGTAGTAGCTAGGAACTGCATTGGGATTCACGTCCTCAGGTCTCATCCACAGAGGCCCACTTTGGCCTGGAGAGTCCAGTCCTAACATACTCTTCAAAGGAAGCTGATGTCTACAAGCCTGAGGACCTAATCTATGGGACAAGACTCCCCAGCGAGTCATCCAGAACTCACATAGGCTTCCCCTAGCCTTCCTGGGGCTGGGTGGGGGCTGGAGCCTGTTGTCTCTAACCCTGTATGCTATACAAATGGTGATATTTCTCTCCGTGACAAACAATGGGAAGCACTTCTGAAGATGCCAGGGCTCTGTCTCATCTATGCATGGGACAGAGAGCAGAAGTGAGGGCAGAGAAAGCCAGACACTTCCTTCACTAGGGGTGACTGGAGAAGAACGGGTTAGGGATGGGTCAGAGACAAAAGCAGCAGCAGAAGAGATCCAAGCCCACCCTCGATGACTCTGAACTGAGCTCTGTGCCAGCTATCTCAGGGCAAGAGGCTACCTCAAGGCAGCCCAAAACCCTGAGCCGTTCTCAAACAACTGCCCAACGGACTGAGCTCAAAGCCCAGTCGAGGCTCGGGGCTGCTTGGCCAATCAGGAGCAATCCACTGGGAGAAGAGGGCAGGCAGTGAAGAGGTTAAGGGTTACTACTGGCAGGAAGGGTACAAAGAGAAAGTCAAAAGAAGATGTCAAGGAGCATCCCAGTGGTCTGGGAGCGTGGAGGCTGTGTGCCTAGAGGGCGGCTGGGCCCTTCTCCTTCAGAAAGATCATCTTGTGGCCTCCTATACTAGCCTGCGCCAAGTGCCAAGGCCAGTGTCACCTCCTTTCCCCTTCAAAGCCCTTCACTCATCACCTGGAATGAGTGGCCCTTTGTACTTGAAAGGCCAGAGACCTGCATGTGCCCCCAATCCTCTGATGAAAACAGCCAGCCTGTGACCCCACAGGAATGCTGCATCCCTGTGGGGGAGGGCAGGGGACTGGCACAATGGGGCTGTGCCTGTAGCCCTCCCACTTCCCCTTCCTGATGCTTCCACAGTGCCACGGCAGTCCCTGCTCTCTTCCTCAGCCCCCTTCAAAGGCTTGCCTGCAAGGGGCAGCCTGCCTGGACTCCATGTGCATCTCAGGTGGTCAGAGTCTCGGGGCCAGGCAGTGACTCCAGCCCCAGCCACTTTCAAGTCAGGGAAAGAGATTCCTCTTGAGACAGCACCTGTCGTGAGTGCCAAGGATGGTGACAGTGAGAGCTAGTGCTAGAAAGCTACCCACGTGGGCTCCAAACTGCCATTGTCCCCACTTTACAGACTGAAGCCAGCCTGCAGTCTGGCTCCAGAACACATGCTCAGAACCACAATGACCTGCACTCCATCCCTGGAAAAGCAACCAGAATCTCATTTCCCTCCCAAGATGCTCCCTATTGCTCCCCTACCAAACACTAAGGTCTCCCAGTCATCACTACAGAGTCTGAAGAACTGGCCAAGTGAGCCAGAGGCTTCTACGAGTGACAGCCCACAGACTCTGCAGAGCAAAGGTCCAGCTTGGGGCACAATAAAAAGCTTAGGAAGAAAGGGATGGGCTTTCCTCAACTCTAGCCTGGGCGGCAATCTCCCCTGAATAGAGTGTCAAGGACCTACCTGTGCCTTGGAGACAGAAACAACTCCTTCAGTGTTCAGACTGGCTATAACACATGGGGATAGGCAGGCACTACTGTTGTGGGCAGCCAACCCCCTCGTACCACACCTGGGTATCCACACCCCTTTCCAATTCTGTTCAATTCTCCAGCTCCTGCAAAGTCAGCCAACTAACCCTTGGTCCTTGGAGACACCTGCCTAAGTATAAGCACCCAACCCAGTGTCTTATCAGCTGCTTGGTATTAGCTGACCACACCTTTCTCCATCAGGCCACCCATGAAGTCTTTGTGTCTGCACGCCTAATGTCCCCAACCAATGCACATCCTAGCCTCAGGGTGAGTTTTACATTAGAGGCAACCCCACTCACTTGGTTCTGATACAGAGCTCAAGGGGAGGGACAAGGTCACTGCTGCTGTCCTCTGGGGTGGTCTTGGTGGTATCTAGGGAGGAGGGAGAAAAAGCACTCACATCATCTCAGGGTACGCACTCATCCGGAGGCCAGCACAGGCAACTCCAGGGGTCCACCCAACCCTTTGAGCACCAGACACCCATCTCCATCTTAACTGAATCCACCCTCCTTCTTGGTCACTGATTCTTACCTAGACAGTACACTGGCCTCTCACCTCCAGCCTCCACCAAACCCCTGCCCTACTTTAGTTACCACAATATTTTTTTTTTCTGAAAATGCATGTGGCCTGATTATTCCTCTGCTCTAAAACCTTCCATGACATCCTACTTCCTTAAAAGCAAATCCAAACCTATCACGAAAGCTCACAGGACACTTGCATATGGTCTTAACTTCACCTCGCACCTTTCCATCAAGTGCTCAAGGTCCACCCATGGCCCTCTCTTGCAAGATGGCAAGACAGCATCACTCTCTGCCTCCCCCCCCACCCATAAGTATCCCAAGAAGGTATGTGAAGGCTGGTTAGGGTGTCTCACCAACAGTCAGCCTAATCTCCTCCTGCTGGTTGGCCAAACCATCATAGTAATACAGGTCAAAGAGTCGTTCCACCCTCCAGTCAGACAAGAGCTCTGGCTGTAGGCTGAAGAGGATGCTGAAGTGGCTCTCGCTGCACACCACCCAAATGGGGAACCTCGGAGTCTTCAGGAAGCAGCCCACCTGAAAGAGGGAAAGACCTGTTCCAATGTGCTGACCAGCTGAGTTGAGGCTGACTTCCGGGAGATGACTGGTGTGATGCTAGAAACCCCTCCTGTTGCCCAGACCCACCTTTTAGAGCTGGCCACCTCCCAACAAGGATCTCAGGGAATTCACACATAGCATTGCTTCCAAGTGACAACCTTGCCACAGCACACAGTCCTCTAAGCCTCTCTTCTCCTCCAGTCTCTCCCACACCTCACTCATGTGTGGCTCAGCCATGACCTCCTAACTACTCTTGATGTACTCCTCATAGTTACTAAGCTCACCAACCCCTGGGTCTTCCCAGTCTTTGTCCTCCCTTTGGGAGAACTGTATCACCCCAACTTCTCAGTCAGTGAGCAGGCATCCCTGCTTCCTTCTGGTTCTCAGGAGCATGTCGCTGAGCAATTGTCCCCTCAATCACAGCACCACAGTTCGTCTGTTGCCTTGTGACACCAACACATGCATCCTACCAAGACCCTGCCCAACGTGTGAGCAAATAGTTGAAAAATGAAGGTCCTCAGGACGAACACTGGACTGCAACTAGAATTGTGCATTGAAGACAGACAGGATCGGGGCCCCTGGGGAGCCAGGAGGGAAGGGTATAAGCTAGCAGTCTATGGTGTTTGAGAAATCCGGGGTGCAGTCGGCTGTTTGGTGAGAGAGCTTGGAGGATGAGACCAGGGCAGCACCAGAACATGGAGAAAAAAGTCTCTCTGCAAGTTCCCAGCCAGGGACTCTCACGGCTGGCTAAGGATGCATGGGAGCAAACCAGAGACCCCAGCACACCGGCACACTGCTTCCTACAGAGATATCCTATTTATGAGCCCTTCGGTAGGTCACCTGCGACACACTCTTCTCTGAGTGCCGGCCAGTACTGGTTTATTCAGCAATGTTCAGCTGGTCCCACCTAATCCGCCCAGGAGATGAGATATTTGCTACTCAGGTGTTTACAGCCTCTGCTGTGGACTAAGGAAAGAATGGGAGCTATTTTTCCAATGGGGAGAAGGGCATGATTGCTCTAGGGCCCACCACAGAATTGTGAGGCAGCTCCCACCTCAGGGGTAATGCTGGAGGTACCTGAGAAAGAGAGGGTGTTCTTAGACTGTCTTCCATGAAGGACACATCTATTAAAATGGAGAACAGGAGGACCACGTTGACCAAGTACTCAGCCCTGGGTGACAATGACACTAACTCTCTCTGCTCAGCTGTATGTGTCACCCAAATGGACTTTGCTCCTTCTGAGCTGTGGTGCACTGGGGCATGCCTGCCCCCTGCCTAACCCTACTATAAGCTTAGCTTCCTTTCTATGCTCCAAAGAGGTTTTTCTTGAGAAGCACGGCCTGGGACTGTACTTACTCACAACAGGCAGGAAAGGAGCCTCAAGCCAGCCATGGGCAGGCCTGGACGCCATCAGCTCTTGAATTTTCCAAACCAGGAACAGAGGGCAGCTTGCCATTTATAAACAACAGTCAAAAGATTAAGAGCAAAACACTGCCCAGAGGGCTTAGAAATGAGTGGACTCATTCACAAGCCTTTTCCACTAGGAGAGATTTTCCAGAGAAACTTCCTTAGGGGTCTTGGGGAACTGGGCATGCCATTCCCTTAGTGCAGGCCAGGCTCTCCCCTGGGGGCCATGCCATACCATCACAAGTTGCTTTAGTTGTTTTTATTGTTCTGAACTTTTTAACTTACTTTTAGTGTTGAGGGATAAACTGGAGAGATTGTGGTGAACCTGTGCCCTGCCACCCCCGAGCCACACTCCTGGCTTTTCAGATTTTATTTTAATGCCATTCAAGTGTTTCACCATCAATGAGTATACATCTATACTGTGAGTTTTGACAAACACTGTCTAAGTCAGTAAGAATGGCCTGATTCTGAGCATGCAAATGGCAGATTTGAGCTGCCAGTGTTCTATAGGATGTACTATTCTCAGGAGAATGGCTTCCAGAGTCAGAGTTTTGAGGTCAAGGATAGTGTCTTTTAATTTCTATAGCATACCAAAGTTCCTTCCGCCAGCTTTCATGCCTTTTATGTCACATTCTTGTGGATCTGATTAACAAACTGTGAAGTTGATATAATTTGCCTGTCTTGATTACTAGTGTGATGTGAGCCATTTTTCATTTGCCAAATGACTGGTAGACTTGTAGATTTTTGTCAAATGAACAACCAATTGCTACAACAATCTCTGGGTTTTAGTTGTTTGGGTTTATTTTTAGTTTTGGGGTTTTTTTTGGGGGTAGTTGCTTATATGGTGTTGTTGTTGTGAGACAGAGTCTCCACATGTAGCTCAAGCTAGCCTTAATTTCTAGATCCTCCTGAGTGCTGGAATTACAGGCACATAACACAAGCCTATGTCTCATGTAATATTTTATATTAAGTGAACTAACCTTTCTCCATTAATTTGAAACCTAGTGTGTGTGTGTGTGTGTGTGTCTGTGTAATTCTATTTTTGGCATTTTTTTTTTCATTGATCCATGTGTCTATTCCTATGCCTTATGTTTTGATTACTGTAGTCTTCACTGTTTGTATGCAAATTCCATTATGAATTTCAAAACTACCTGGCTCTTCCTAAGCACATTTTCTTCCTTAGACAAACCATTTAAAAAACCCTTTGGACCAGGTGGTGGTAGTAACACACCCTTAATCTCAGCACTCCGGAGGCAGAGGCAGAGGCAGAGAGGCAGAGGCAGAGAGGCAGAGGCAGAGAGGCAGAGGCAGAGAGGCAGAGGCAGAGAGACAGAGGCAGGCAGATGCCTGTGAGTTCGAAGCCAGCTTGGTCTACAGAGTGAGAGGACAGCCAGATACACACAGAAACTCTGTCTCAAAAACAAACAGACAGACAAACCATTGGGAGCTTTTTCCCGTGAAGTGCTGGGGTTTTAATTAAATTTAATTAATTAAAAAAGGTTCTCAACCTTCCTAATGCTCCAACCCTTTAAGATAGTTCCTCATGTTGTGGCAATCACCAACCATAGATTTATGTTCATTGCTACTTCATAACTATAATTTTGCTACTGTTATGAATTTTAATGTAAGTATCTGATACACTAGATACCTGATATGTGACCTCCAAAGGGACCACAACCCATAGGTTGAAAACCACTGATCTAGTACCTTGACCATGTTAGGCCAATGCTCTATGCTGAGTTTTCCGTCCTAGTCCGATTTGGGAATTTAAATTTTCAGTTTAGAGAAAGCAGTACCTTTACCACATTGAATCTCACTGCCCACACTTGACATGTTACTCTGCTATTCTAATCTTTTATGCATTTCAGAAAATCATTTAGAAGGTTTGTCTTGGTTAAGTTTATTCCTTGGTGTTTTTACATTTTTGGTTTTTGAAAAGTTATCTTTAAGGATTTCACTGTCTTTATCAAGAATGCCTTGTGTGTGTGTGTGTGTGTGTGTGTGTGTGTGTGTGTGTGTGTGTGTGTGTGTGTGTGTGTTACACCCGGTCTTCTCTCTAAACTTTCAAAAGACAAGTAATGATTTCAGTTGACTTAGGCTTATTTCTGAGTAGGTCACTGCATCCACATTTCAAGTTTTCGTGGGATTTTGAAATTCTCTTAAACATTAAGCTATTTTGTATATGTGTGTGGGGACCCACGTGTGATGACATATAGGTGAAGGTCAGACAACAACCTGGGGTACACAGTACTTTCCTCCTATTATGTGGGTTCTGGGGTTTGAACGCAGGTCATCAGGCCTGGCGACAATCACTTTTACCTGCTGAGCCATCTTGCTGGTTCTCGGGGGTGTTTTTAAAATCTGAATCTTAGTCTCTCTCTCTCACAGTAGTGAATGGCCTCCAGCCAGTACAGATGGCCATATTCAAGCCCTTGTTCTCAAGGATCAGCACTTGACTACAAGCAGAATTACTTTCCCATCTATAATGGTGACATTCATTTGATGTGATTACACTATCCTCAGCCACCCAATAGACGATGGAAACACAATGTGGAGAATGAGATCTGTAAGGATTCAGGCATGACGCTGGCCTGGCCCTGTCACCTGGCAGAATGCACTCAGGCAGTACTCTGGTCAGCCAAGTGTTCTATGACTACAAGTCTGCACGCAGATGCAAAGGACCCCTTAAAAAGAAGGACCCCACCCACCTCTCTTCCTGGTTCCTCTCTTTCTTGCCCTCCCACTGTTCCCCTGGGGCAGACAGGACTTACTGTCCCCCTCTTCTCCTCCTCTGTCCTCTCTCTGTCTCTGTGTCTCTTTACCTCTTTTCTCTTTCCTTCCCCGACCCTTTCCCTTTCTAATAAATCTTCTCACTAAGCTCTGTCTGCCTGGCATGTTTGTCCCTTCGCCTCGGTTCCCCATGCAAGGTTCCCCACGAACATTATCATAAGACCAGTGAAGACAGCAGAGAGTGGCCAGTCAAACGAGTCTAAACGTGCTGTGCGTCACCACCATTTCTCACACCACCAAGAACAGGCCAAGTAACCAAGTCTAGCTAACACAGTGTGCTGTCATCTCCTACGCGCTGAAATGCAGGGGGGGGGGGAATTCCATCTTCAGGCAATAAAATATGATGCTGAAGTCAAGGAGAGGCCCACCGAGGAATCAGGGGCTTGGATGGAGGTTGACAAGGTGAGGAGCAGAGCTCTCTGATCAGAGGGATGGCAGAGGTGACAAAGGCTTCCCTTTCAGGAAGAAACATTAAGCCAAACCTTGAAGAGCGGTAGAGGCAGGGCAGGTGGATGGAACAGCGTATGCAAAAGCCAGAGGGAGGAACAATCACGTAGAGGCAGGCGTAGCTAAGGCCCAGCATCAGCAGGAGAGTACATGAAGGGGGATGGCTCCGCTCTGAGGGGGCCCATGGGCCATGAAAAGTTTGCGATTTTAGCCTCTGCATTAGTTACTTGTGCCCAGGCCACCATAGCAAACACTGAGTATCTTAAGCAACATAGATTTAGTTTCTCAAAAATTTGGAGCAGTCTGAAATCGAGGTGTTGTCTGAATTGTTTGCTGGAGTATGTCCCTTTAGCTAACTGATCCCCCTATGTCTCACAAGGTCTTCTCTCTCTCTCTCCCTCTCTCTCTCTCTCTCTCTGTGTGTGTGTGTGTGTGTGTTTGTCTACATCCTAATCTCTTCTTACGATGACACTGTTGTTTGGATTAGGGCCATCCTAGTGACCTCATTCTAACTTAATCACCTTAAATACCATCACCAGACACAGTTCCGCTCAGGGGTACCAAGGGTCAGGACTTCACATAGGAATTTTAGTGAACCCAATGTAACTCATGATAGTCCTGGGAAACGAAATGGCTCTGGAGGGTTTTGAACACAGAATGGTATGATTGGATCTATGTTTTTAAAGATTACACTGCTTTAGGGAATGGAGTGTATGGGAAGCGAGGGTCTCAGGATCAATGATATTCAAATGCTGGGACTTCCTTATGGCTGTGTTAATGCTATCCAATAAAGGGGGCTGGCTAGGCCAAGAACTGATCTCTGTCTAGACTTGAACTTGAGTTTTCAGCTTCCTGGGGGGTCCTTTGTCACATGTGACTGATGGAGGCCCCTAGTGCCACAGGGTCAGAAGGGAGGAGAGATGATATGAAGAAGTTGAAGGCTGCCAGGCCCAGCCTGGTCTTTAGGGGAAGGAGAGGCCAACAGCCAGCCTTGATGACTTCTTGGTAGCAAAAGAAGGTGCCATCTAGAATTCCATCCTCAGTGGGCTTGCAATGCACAAGGAAGTATCCACTCCCCACAGGGAATAATACTTCCCTGCTTGGTCAGCAAAGGGGCCATGTGGACTCAAAGAATCTATGAGTCACTGGGCCCAATTTTCTCCAACAGTTACTACATTCTGAGTGAAGGGTGGCCTCGACTGTTTTCCCCCTCATTTGCCCTCTACTGACCAAATGAAAATAGTTTACATTTTCACAGGCAGCCTGGACCATACGAAGACATCAGGGATCGTGGTTAGCCTGCAGTCTATGAAACTGGCCACACTTACGCTGTTCAAGCCATGGGCTGTCACGCTGGAGACCATTGGAGCCTCCCAGGCTCTCGGGGCTTCTCCTTGGCCACAGGGTCAAACTGCTGCCTTACTCCTGACAGCAACACAGCCAGAAAGGAGCTGTCTCCTTTCCTCTCCAGGCAGCCAGAACCCATACATCTACATTCCATGAAGCTGGGGTGTCACTCAGATAGGGAGTCAGGAAGAGGACCACTACATGGCTCATGAACAAGAGACAGCAGACCTAAATAAGATGTCACACAGAAAGGGTGGGACAAAAATCCCAGCTCCCTCCCACTCTGCTAAGTCATTTACCTAGCATTCCCGTGGGGGGCATACGGTAAGCACCTTGCTTCCTGTTTGTGGCCGTGAGGCAGCCTCAACTAGGCCCTCTTAGTGTCTGAGCCCCATGTAAGTCTCCTGTTGACCCTCGGGACAGTGCTCTCCACAGCCACAGAATGCTGTACATATGAAGCCACTAACAGCGAGCCTCCGAGAAGGTCTGACAGCAGCTGAGGCAGCAGGCCTGATCAGGAGCACCCCTGGCCAGCCCATGGTGCCATCATCAGTACACCACCAGCTTCACTTAAAGCCCGGGCCTTTGCAAGCTTCCTTTCCCCAGCAGGAAAGGAGGCAGAGGGACCACACCCCAGCAAGCAGGCCAAACGAAGCTGTGTGGGCTGAGCTGCGCATCTCCCAAAGGACATGTAAGCCCAAGAGCCTGTGAACTGAACCTTCTCCGGAACTGGGGCTGCACATGCCATTGGTTGACATGAGGTTATACCAGAGCAGTGTGCTCTGAAGCCAACAGAGGTCCTTAGAAACAAAGATACAGGGAACGATCAGCCAAGTGACAATAGAGTCAGGGCCAGGAGTGCTGCGTCTATGAGACAGGGAGACCAAGAAGAGCTGGAATACGGCGCCCATCAGCGGAGGCCCCCACTCCCAAAGCTTCTCCCTGCTGCCTTCCGAAAAGCCCAACCAGCTCACACCTTGGTCTTGGACTACCAGGGGCTGTAAAAGAGGCTCCTCCATTGTTTCAGCCACCCAGCCTGTAGCATTTTGTTGCAGCAGCCTTAAGGAAGTAATAGAAAGCCTAAGATGTCAAGCTCCTGCCTCCAGAGACCTCCCTCCCTCAACACACCAATACATTCATGCATTATGAATTCAAACACACACACACACACACACACACACACACACACACACACACACACACACAATGCACACCCACATTATGAACCATTAAGAGTTCTTTTCAGCTATCCTTTCTGGACCCCAGAATCTGCTGTTTGAGTCAGAAGTGTCTGTGGCATCGGCAGCCAAGTCCTGTTTCTTCTAATCAGCTCAGGCTGAACCTGAACTCCAGCCAGATTGGGGAACTAGGAACCAGCTTTCTTTCCTCCACGTCCTTCTGTCTCATGGGTCCAGGGAACTAGGCTGCTGGGGTTCCAGAGTACATGTGGGTACCTGGCACACATTGTAGTGTTCAAAGAGAGACAAGAAACCGATGTCGCTGCGTGCCTCAATGCCTCGGAGGAGCGTGATGTTCCCATCGCCGGAGTCTAATTCCACTACATCATTGAAAACATTGGACACAGCTCTCCCGGTCAGGAGAAGATTGACAAGTTCCTGTTGATGAGAGAAGGGGAAGCTGCGTCAGATCTCTGAAATCAGCCTTGGGAGAGTGGAGGGGAGGCCGGGAACAAGGGAAAAGGGGTGGAGGAGGAAAGAAACCAAGGAAAGCAAGAAACAGAATGAAGAGTTGAGGCGGTAGGGGCTTGGTTTGATTTCTCCACAGGCTCTGGGGAGGGGAGGGGTTCTTCCAACGGCTCCCATCAAAGCACCCTGAGGGATTCAGCTATCTAAGTCAAGCATTTCTTGAGCAAAGACTACACAGAGCCTGTTCTAAGTCTCAGTATGGGGGGACCTTTGAGTGGTTACAACACAGCTCTATGCTCCGGGCAAGCTGAGGGGGGAAGTGGGGGTCAAGGATGTGTCTGTGTGGTTGAAACCTAATGTAGGATATGAGCAGGACTCTAAAAATGTGCGCACAGAGTCTTCCCTGCCCCACATAGACACGAGTCACAAAACCAAGGGAGAACAGCTTTGTTGGAGAGTGACCTTTGGGAGAGTCTTCAAAGACAGTGTTTTTAAAAATAAGCATTTTAATGTTTGAAATGACTTTAGATTCAATAGAAGTTGCAAAAATAGTTCAGGGAGTTCCTGTGTACCCTTTACCCAGCTTCCTTCAACGATAACATCTCATAGGACCCAGCACATCTCACAGCCAGGAAGCCAGCCAACCCTGCACACTGCAGCACCAAGCAGGTGCCCCTAGTATTACAGGGATCTCACAGGGACGGTAAGAAAAGCAGGACAGGGGCAAGAGACAGGGCAGCACAAGGCGGCGTTTGAGCTTGCCCCAGATCCTAGCGTCCCCGTGGCTCACGCCACACACCCAAGCAGCCACCAAAAGTGTGACCTCAGACCTGGAGCAGTGTCGAGAGCAGTATGGCATCTCTGGGAGTCTCCATGTCTGGTGCTGCAGTGCATCACTGAGGTTAGACCCCCCCCCAGTGTCCCACCACTGGTTAGGAACAAAGAAACTGAACCGGGCAGATGAGAAAGGACTTGTCCTAGCCACATAGCCAGAAAGTGACTGAGCTAAACTTTCACCCACATCTGCTGAGTACAACATCTCTGTCACCCTTGCTGTCCTGACAGCAACCCCATCTAGACACTCCAGTTGAAAGGTGGTAGCTTCCAAGGGCTCTTTGGAGAAGAACTCTGACGGGTCTACCCCTAGTATTCAGACAAACACTCCCTCTGTGTAACCCTCCCCACAGCAGTGAGACACGCAAGCATGAAGCTGTCTCCTAGCTCATGGGAATGGCACCCAATGCCCTGCAGGGCAGAGTCCACAGCCGTGTTTTCCCTTGAATTATGAAATTGATGTTCCGGGAACATAAACCTTCCATTGATTCTAACACCCCTGCCCCAGTGACAGTTAGGCCTCTATTGATGGCTACCAAGGGGCCCACACTGGAAGGACCTCATTGTGTCCCTACAGGGGAAATGATAAAAAGAATTCAGAGGAAATAACTACTCTGGGATACTATACCTCATGCCCAGAAGCTATTGAGAAAGGTGCAGTCTTTTTTTCTTTAAGGTGGAAATTTTTTCCATCTGGTTTGCACTAAGAATAAAGGCCCTGCTCTTCCATCTGGGATGTTCAAAGCATTGCCCCCAGCAGGAAGTGTTCTTGAGAGAGGAGGGGCACCACACATACCGCCTGCCCTTGGTTCAAAAACACTGCAGTAGCGAAACTCAGTCACCATCCAGTCCACTGCTATTTCAAGTGTATGCCACAGACTGTTTCCTCCTGGGGGGAGCATTTAGAAATTCACCCTCCATGGGCTTGGTGTGGTGGTGCATGTCTGTAATCTCAGCACTAAGGAGACTGAGACTGAGGGGGGTGGGGGGAATCTGGAATTCATAGCCAGCCTGGGCTATATAGCAAGAAAAGAAGAAAAGAAAATGACGAAGAAATTCCCTAGCCCCAGCACAGCCTGAGTCAGAGCCTGCTTTCCGACATCACCATAGGGATTGCTGTGCAAACCAAAGCTAAGCAGCCATGAACTGGGCCAAATGCTTCTTCCACAAGGGAGGGAACTGGAGCTGGGGGAGGGGAGATGTCTCAGCTCCTCCTGTGAGTGTAGCAGAGAACAGACTTGACCCCAGTCCAGGATGATGCTGGTGTAGCCTCCTTTGCCCCCAGTTTGATTCCTGTCCCCCGCCCAGGCGGCTCCATTCTCCACCCTCCGCTAGAGGAGACTCCCCTGGAGGAAACAAACAGGTATGCACAAGGAGAGCAAGACCACTAGGCAGCCAGAAGAGAGGAAATTCTCCATGACCTTCTTCCAGGGAGGGCAGAAGCCAGTCACACACCCTTCTGTGGGTGTCTGCTACACCACAGACCTCAAACTTGCATTTGCATGGGACCAAGGTAGCTTTCCAGGGTTAGGCACAGGTGAGTCAAAATCCTAGAACAACTAGTCAGTCCCAGCCAGCTCGTCAGAAGACTGTGAGTTCTGGATCCTGCATACAGTGACCCACATGGCCTTTCTCAGAGGTCTTTGCATGCTAAGAAAGGTGTGCATGGAAGCTTGATGCACACCAGAGAGGACTTTGAACTGGTGTCTTTAGTGGCACTACCAGACAGGGAATACAAAAGACAAACGAGGTTTCTCGTGTCCCTAACAGCATTTGTTGTAAAGATGCAATGGTTGTGAAGACAATTGTCTTCTGCTGCCCTGGGCATGCTCTGACAGCCTGGGCTGTGTGCAGTCCAGCACTCAAGTGGATCCGTGTTCCATCTCCTCTGCATCCCCACGACTCCAAGAATACCAGTCAGCAGGTAGAAAACAAACTGAGCTTTCCTCCCAGGTCACCAAGACAGTGAAGCTGAAAGAGGCAGGCTCACAAAAGCTGCAAGGGGGGTGTCTCATCAGATGTAGGAGGGAGGGAGGAACTCAAGAGGGGGAAGGGCTGCCTGGCTCCCCCGTGTGGGGCCCCACGGCCCCCTAACCTGTGTGCAGTATCCGTGAGCTCCAATCAGATGGCTGGTGGGGACGTCGAAGTCCTGGCGGACACTAGAAAGCACAAAAGGGACAGACATGAGCATGTTTGGACCTCACTGAGGAGCCAGGTGCTCCTGGGCCTGCCCTAGGGATTCCATTTGCTAAGAACCTGAGCATTCTATGCTGGGACTCTGTAGAGGTGTTACCACAAAACGGCCTCCATTTTGGCCACACCAAAATCTGGTGAGTGAAATGTAACAGGCCATTGCCCTGGGAATCCAATGTCTGAGATTCATACCACAATCACCACTAATGGTGAGGATGGCGATGGCGTGCCTGGCCCCCACCTCGGGGCCTCAGGCAGCTAGTTGGTTCAACAGGAGGGATTGACTGGAATGGACTCTCATGACTCTGCTGTGGTTTCAATATGGTTAGAGAGTGTCTCTCAAGGGGCCGTGTGTTAAAATCTAACTACCACTGTGAGGTAGCAAGAGGGTAAACAGTTGAGTGCACACATGTGGGTTTCTGGAGACCACAGACTGACATTAGATAGTCTCCTCCATAACCCTCTACCCTGTTGTTTTTAGATTTATTTATTTTGTGTGTCCATGTGTGCAGGTGTGTATACACGCACACATATATGCACACATGTGCACCTGCCATAGCAAATCAGAGGACTACTTTCAACAAGAGTTGATTCATTACTCCTTCCTTGTGGGTCCCAGGGATTGAACTCAGGTCACTAGGCTTGGTGGCTAGCACTCTTTCCCACTGAGCCATCCTGACAGCCTCCGCCTTATCTTTATAAACGTTTCCTTTGAGAATTTCACATACTTATACAATGAAATATGTTATCTACGCCCCTTAACCCCAACTTCTCCCAGATCCCCAGTCATACTCTTGCCAGCAAATCATATCATTTATTTTTATTATTATGTGCCCTAGAACCATTTGGTCAGCACATAGGAAAGCAGCAGTCATGGCCAATGACCTCAAGAGGAAAGAAGGACTTCCTATTTTTATAGATGTGGAAAGATGCTCAGGCAGGTGAGCACTGGAGAGAGGTGAGGTTGAGAGCCTGGTTCCTAGGTCTCTAAAGCTACACACAACAGACCTGGACGCACACTGCCCACCTGGCACCATGTGCAGGGCCTGGTGTGCTTGCTAAGTTCATCTCCCAGAAGAGCACTGAGCTGAGGCCAAGTGTAGGAAGGGCTCTGTGGTGGAACATTTGTTTTTCCTTTTAGGGGAAGAGGAGAACCTGGTCTCAACAGATGCTTTAAGTTCAAGATCCCCACACACTCAAAAACTCAAAACACACACTCTAGTCCTCTGGTCTTCCAAGATAACCTCAGAAACTCCAACTCCATCATCCTTGCCAGGAAATTGTGTGTGTGTGTGTGTGTGTGTGTGTGTGTGTGTGTGTGTGTGTGTTTTAACTGGGGGTCAAATGGAGACATGGTGCTCAGGAGATGGGCCTCAGGTAGCATCACAGAGACATATAAACAACCACAAAGACCCAGGGTCTTCTGGGAAGGTCCAAGCCCACTCAAAGCTGACCAGCGTGCCTGGGAGACAGCCAGCAAGGGGTGACTCATGGCCAGCACAGTGCTGGGCTGGCGCTAGCTAAGGCAAAAGAATTGATGGAAACGTTCTCTGTGGCATATACAACATCTTCTGATGAGAAGAAAATAACCTCAAAGCAGTCCTGGGGGGACTGATAAGCATCGCTGGCCGCCGGCCACCTGTGACTTTCAGAACCAGTCCGATCTTCATAAGCTCTCGGCCGCGTGTTCACCCAGCGGGCTAGAAAGCCTGCGTCAGCTGGGAGAAGAGGGACTAGCAGAACAGACAATGGGAGGAAATGGTAATTGCATCCTTAGGTGCAAACACGATGGGAAATTCAGAAGTTGCCTGGATCTTAAAAGGGAGGGACATGTGTATTTCACATTAGGGCACTTGGGAGACGCCAAGGAGCAGCTTATGGCTTAAGAGATTTACAACTTTGGCAAATAGCAATGCCCAATCCTCCCCTAGGGAGTTCTGACGGGGAGCACGTGTGAGGAGTCCTGGGGCAGAGGCCATCCTCTGCCTTGGCTATACAAGAGAATAGCTTACATAGAAGCCTGACCCAGCCCCAGTCCACTGTGCAACTGTAAGCCTTTCTTCCCTGGGCCTCAGCCTCCCACTCGGGAGCAAAATGGTCTGGATCAGAACTACGACTCTCCAAATCCATATATCGAACCCAGTCTGAAGAAGCAAACTCAGGAGGCTGAGGCAGAAGGACTGAAAGTCCAATCAAGCCTGGCATGGCGGTGCATGCCTTTAACCCTAGAGATCCATTTGCAGAGGCAGGTGGATCTCTGAGTTCGAGGACAGCCAGGGCTACCCAGAGAAATCCTGTCTCAAAAATACAAATGGAGGAGGAGGGAGAAGAGAGATGAGGAGGTCCAAGATCAGACAGGAACAAGAATGATTCAAATTTTAAAATGGAAAAGCAAATGTGAGGCTGTCAGTTCAATCCTCAGTACTGTGTGTGTGTGTGTGTGTGCACACGTGTGTGCACATACGCATGTGTGTGTACACATAGACTCTGAAGTCCCAACCCACCCAAAGGCAGAAAATGAGGCTCTTCATGGGAGCTAAAATGAAGCCAGCAGGATAGGTCCTGATCCAACCCAGCCTGCAGAGTTGTAAGAACAAGTTTCTGTGTCCAAGGTTTCCTGGCCTTGTTAGCACCAGCCTAGGATACTAGGACAAATGACATCTACTGTCAGGGTAGACTCAAAGCTCTCTTTCCATGAAATCTTCTGTGCTTTACAGATGCTTTACACTTTACAGATGCTAATGACAGAGCCTCTAGGGTGAAGACAAAGATGGGCTTGCTCCATGATTCTTACTAGGATACAGCCATAAAAGCTAAGAGGCCAGGGTCTACTTGAGCTACGTCACAGAAGCTGTCTGGTACTTCAATCCCTCCAGCAAACTGTGCTTTCCTGCACTGCAAAGCCAATAAGCACAGAATGGGAAAGCCTGTATGAACTTAACCATGGGAGGAGGGACTCAGTACCAGATACACGCTCCCAACTCCTCAGCATCTGGGAATAATGGGCCAGGACCCAGGGACCCCACCTGTGGGCATCCGGGTCACCTAGTGACAAGAGGCAACAGAAAGCTCTTCTTGGGAGAACAGCAAGGACCAAGCCCCTCAAACCTTCTCCATCTGGAGGTCCCTGAGCCATCACACCATGGCAAAGAATAGCACAAGAAAACCTCAGGGCTGGGAGGGCCTTCGGGGCTCAGTGTTTGGTGGACAGAAAAATGCAGACTCTGGGAGAGGCCTGGCTCAAGCTAGTGATGTGTGCCATCCAAGAATCAAGGCCTGCAGCCAGTTTTAGACTTCTGTCCTTTGTCCCAAGTCTCACAATGGCTGTTTCTGCCATGGAGCAAGCTGACAACACAGGAGTTCCATGTCTGCAGTTTCAGAGCCTCCCAAATGCATTCTTCTCTCAAAGCTCTGAGAGGGCAGGGCCCTCATCGCACTGATAGGTAAACTGAGGTCCCAAGAAAAGACTGGACTTTGGACTTGGGTGGGCACACCATGAGCAGGGCCAGTGTTCTACGTGGTCTGAAAGACAGCCTGAGCAGCCAGCTCCAGGCAGGCCAAACACTGAAGCCCCACCCAGGTTCCACCAACCCTGGCTCCAGCCAACTTGTCCCTTCACCCAAAAGTCTCCCATGTCAACATGGCATTTGGCACAGAAACTTCTAAATAGAAGGGAAAATAATAGGCTCCTGTAGCCTAGAGACATGGCCCTTGACCAACCCCTTCTCCCTCACAGCCTGAATCCACACTGACAAAATAGGAGACCAGGGGACAGGTAGTGTCCCTGGGATGGGAACAAGGGTAGTTGGTCCCTGACTCTGATCTTTGAAGCACTAAGCTTTGTGTAGAAAGCAATCAGACATCCCTCTTCCACCTGACCACTGGGACTTGGGCTCCGCAGAGCCAGGTCCCCTAGGTGAGCTTCTATGGCCCTCTCCCAGCAGCTGTATTCCCTCTACACCCCCACCTACTTTGGAGGTGAGTTTCTGCAGTGGGAGGGCTGTTGTGATAAAACAGACTCTAAGTTGGGGATGGCTGGGTTCAAGCTGGGATGCTGCCATTTAAAACTTGCCCCTTCTTGGGAGTTGGTGATGCCTCCTTCTATTATGGGTTTCTGTGAGAACAGAGTGAGATAAACTATATAAAGCCTCTGGCATGTGGTAAATGTCACTTCCTTTTTCCTACAATCACAACAATTAAAAACAGGAAAACAATGACTGAGAGGTCGTGATTCCTGCAACCTCAACCATTCATGTCACAGCCAAGAGCCTATGGCAAACGCAGGCCTCCAAAAGGTTGAAATACAGCCGAGAACATCTACAAATGATTTGGGGAGATGGTTTTTCCAGGAAGCCCAGAGAGATGGGACAGTGGTCAGCTATTTGGATGTCAGGCCTCTTCTTCCTCATGTGCTGTGGTCCCCTGGGATAACAATAGCTACCCCACAGGTTGTTATAAGGAGGAACCAGACCATGCATAAGCCTTGCAATATTCCAAGAGCGCACCGTGACAGGAGGTCTAGGTCCTCCCAATCCCCAGGCAGTGAGAAGAAGTAGAGAATACTTAGTGTAAGGATGGCTCTAAAGAGTGGAGAAGGGCCTGCCTGAAGGAAGGAGAAGGAAGCACAGGAACCCATGGCCTTCACCACTGCCCAGAGAACCCCCCACCCCCAGGAACCCATGGCCTTCACCACTGCCCAGAGAACCCCCCACCCCCAGGAACCCATGGCCTTCACCACTGCCCAGAGAACCCCCCACCCTCAGGAACCCATGGCCTTCACTACTGCCCAGAGAACCCCCCACCCTCAGGAACCCATGGCCTTCACTACTGCCCAGAGAACCCCCCACCCCCAGGAACCCATGGCCTTCACCACTGCCCAGAGAACCCCCCGCCCTCAGGAACCCATGGCCTTCACCACTGCCCAGAGAACCCCCCGCCCCCAGGAACCCATGGCCTTCACCACTGC